TGAAACACTGGTAAAACTTGGAAAACTAGAGGAAATGTTCCCTTTTCCTAAGTTATCAGCTGTTACAAAAGATTTTGACAAAATTGGCAATCTGTGGATCTTCTTTTTGATTTGAGAAGAGCCATATGCTTTATTTTTTACAAGTTATATTTATTTTTAAGGATCGTTTGCTGTTATTTAACAATATTAAAGGGAATTTGTACTAAATACCAGATTGCTGATGGCAAGTTAAAATTCTGTTACCAAATGTAAAATCTCAATTTGCATGGCTGCGGGGAGATCCCAGTTCTGCATGCAAGACATTGCTCAGGTTTATGTCTTTTCAGATTAGGACTTGATCGTTCAAGCAACTGTTCATATTTGCTGTATTTCTCCCATTGGCGCTGTAATGTAGCCATCATCAAAGGCGCTGTGGCAGGTTGAGTTGGAACATGGAGGAAGGAATGCCTGAGTGATCCCAGGGGCTTGGGGACAGCTTCCAGAGGAGCTGGTACAGGCTGGCGCTGCCTCTTGCTAGAGGATTATTGGGGAGGCATTCCAGGTGAAGGGGGCGTGGAAGCGAGGGCTGTCGCATTCCAGAGAGCATGACATATCCAGCAAGTAGAGGTGATGTGTTACTGTTCTGTTCATTTAGCAAATAGTTATGGAAACATTGCTGTGTATTATGAGGTCCTGTTGAAGACTGTGGCATTTAACCAGGCAGGAGGATTGCCGAATTCAAGGCCAGCCTGGACTACTTAGCGAATTCAAGGATAGCCTGAACTACATAGTGATACCTTGCTCCAAACAAACAAACAAGATGCCAGCGTTCAGCAGTGAGCAAAACAGCAAAGATACAGAGATCACTGCTCATTTGGGACTTTAAGTTCTAGTGAGGAGAAACAGATAATATACAGTATTTAGTGCACACAGAGTGTACTGGTGATGAATTATAAGAGGACATGGAAGTGGGAACAGTAATGGAGTAGGCAGGTGTCACTTCAAGGTGGTCGGAAGAACCCCACCATGAAGGCAGTGTTGAAGTAAAGATCTGACGCTGGCGAAGGACCAGCAGAACGAGTATCTGTGAGTGTGTCGGGCAAGGACCCTGACTTAGGTACTTTTCTCTTGTTGCTGAGACAAAATACCTGACACCCAGTGGGACAAGGTGTAGTTAGCTCACAGTTTGTAGAGGTTTCAGTCCATTATTGGCTGGCGCCAAGTTGGTGACACCTAGGGGCAACTGTCCATGGAAACAGAAAACAGCAAGCAAACAATAAAAGAAGAGAGCTGCTTCCTTTCCCTTATCTTGCATCCAGGCTCCTGGAACTAGGGCGGTGCCAAGCGGATCAGTGGGCTGACCCAGCAACCACCCACCGTTTATCCCAGAACACTTAATTGTGGCATCGTACCACGAATCAGTCACACGCTTTAGATTCAGCCTCCTTGGACAAAGCCTCATCTAAAGCCACAGGAGGCTTTGGGGGACATCTAGACACAAATCGTAAGAGGCCCGAGGTTCACGTGGATCTGATTTATTCAAGAAAACCTTGGAAGGAAAGCATAACAACACAGAGTAAAGGGAGAGGGCCAGATGTGGGGCTGGGGAAACAGAGCCAGGTCTTGCAAGATTTTGGGCATTTGTCTGTGTAAAATGAGGGGAATGACTGGAGGTCTGGGGCAGAGTAGGAGGTGAGTCTGTTTTTAAGACCACTTGCACTGAGCGGAGAGCCAGGAGACAGGGGGCTACTGCATTAACACAAGTGAGGGGGTGGTGGGTGTGGGTCAGTTTGCTCCAGTAGGTGATAAAGCAGCCCCTGAAGATATTTGATTGGTAGAGTGACATAGGATTGGTATGTTTTTTAATTTTTTTTTTAAACTGGGAATTGAACTTATGACCTCATGCTTGCTAGGCAGGCGCTCTGCCACAGAGCTCTATCCCTGGCCCAGGATTGGTATGTTAAAAAAAAAAAAAAAATGATTTTGGCAACCATGCAGAAGGAGGACTGAGAGTTGAGACAAGGAGCTGGATTCATTTCCAAAGCTCCAATCACCAGGAAAAGGAAAGAAATCTCACAACAGAAATTGGCTCATTCCTGAATACCCTGCGAGCCAACTTCTTGACAACTATAGGAATGGAGAAGATTTACACATTTGGAAATGCCCTTGTAAGCCTTGCCAAGGAAGCAAGGTGAAGGATTAGTGCAAAGTGTGCTCTAGAGGTGGCCACCTAGCAGGTCACCACGGATCCTTGCCACGTGCTGGGCGCCATCACTGTTCTGCAAATGCATTGACTCATTTACCCCTTGCCACAGCTCACGGCGGTGTAGTGACGTGGCCTTCATCTTGTAGATGAGGAAGGCCTCGGCACAAAGCCGAGTGGCCTCTGAGGGCCACTCGCCATGCTTTCTTCTGAAGGGATTCATGATTTCTAAGAGAGTTTCCATTCCTCATGGTCTTTAGAGTTGAATGTAGAAATACCGTCAGTCATTTCCTGGTGAGCTGTGGTGAAGAGCTCCAGAGAGTTGGCCGCTGCTGGGTGGAGATAGGTATTCCTTTAACACACTCTGAGTTGCCACGACACAGAAATTAGTTTGAAACGTAAGTGAAGGTGAGAGGAATTACAAGGAACTGAGACATCCAGGAAAGGAAGATGTGTAGGCTCAATGCAGGAGGTGTGGATGGATCTGGCCTTTTGAGTGCTGCCACCAGGTCCCTGGGGTGTGTTCTCTTCACCTCTGGCCCAGGGCTCAACCTGGGTCTCTTCCTGTGGTCAGTAGTACTGCCCGTGTGCAGCTTCTGAGCAAACAGAATTGTGACTCCCCTGGTCTTAGCCCCAGAGCCTATCCCCAGGACCGCAGGGGCAGGGTGAGCCCCTCTGAGGACAGTGAGGGACCCTTGGGCCCTTGCTGTGGGTCTCCTGTGAGAAGTGGTAGGTGTGCAATCTTGGTGGCGCCCTGAAGTCACTGAGGTGGGTGTTGCAATGAGGCCAATCTAGAGCAGGGCAGGACCAGCATGACTCATATCTTCTTGATGTCGGAGCTTTCCTCCCTGGGTACCTAGAAAGAAAGTGGCTCATTCCAGATTATTCCTCAGTAGTATCTGGGGTTGGTTCTGCCCTTCATTGCTGGAAGATATGTGGCCCATTCTGAGCCACCAACTTTATTTATAAATAAATAAGTTTTATTTATAAATAAACTTTATGTTTTTAAGGAGGTAAGGTCTTACTGTGTTACCCAGACTGGCTTTGAACCCTTGGGCTCAGGTGGTCCTCCTGACTCAGCCTTCTTAGAAGCTGGGACCACAGGAGTGCAACACCATGCTCACAATACTATATGTAATTTTTTTTTTTTTTTTTTTTGCAGTGATGGCTTTGTACATGCCAGACCAGCGCTCTCCCAGTGAGCCACATCCCTAGCTATACCCTGTTTTCTTAAGGAGAGTGATGTGATTTAGAGTTTAGCAGCGTTTCTTAGAACAAAAGTTCAGTCTAGACCCACCCCAGCTGTGGGAAAGTGGTCACACCCTGCTGGGTCTATGCTGTCCCATGTCACTATTTGTCTTGTATAATTACTTTCTTTTTCCCTTGTCAAAGGAAGTGATGGACAGGGTAAACAAGACATAGGTCTATAAAAGTTTCACCAACTTTTCTTTTTAACTTTGATGCAGAGTTAGATATTATATTTTCATCATAATCTAGTACGCATATGCCTTTGTTTACTTAAAAAATACTGTATAATAGAAGAGTATTTGCTTCCTACTAAATGCAATATACTCTCATCATTTCTGTTCGTTTAAGATTCCATTTTGAAAAAGCACAACCACTGTATGTTCATTTCACGCCCACTAAAGGATGGCATCCAGGTTTAGACTAGAGAGAAGAAGCAGTCACGGTGCGTTAGTTTGCTAGCACTGTCATGACCTTGTGCGGGGACCTTGTGGCTCAGGTCACAGATCCCCTCTCAGAGTTGGGAAAGCTGAGAAACTGTCAGAGTGAGTTCCTTCAGAGGCCCGCGCGTGAGGACCTGGCGCCGGCCTTTCCCCGGCCGCTAGCACCCTGCTGGCAATCGCTGGCTTGTCCCTGGCCTGTGAACGGACCGCCCTGATCTCTGCCTTGTTGTCACATGGGCGCCTTCGTGCAATACCTGTTCACAGACGGGAGCCCCACAGGGTTATTCCGCCTGGATAGAGATGCTAAGCACGGGTGGGAAGTAACCTACCAACTTGGGCTGAGGTCTGTGGCATGGCAGCCTTCTCAAAGGGCTCGCAGGTGCCAGGTTTGCACGGGGCACCTCCTCTTCTGGGAGGGAGCACCAGCCAGGCGTTGGCTCTGCCCATGGGTGTGTCTTCAGTGGCAGGCCATTCCTGGCAATGCCAGCAGCCAGCCCGACTCCCTCCTGTTGCACTTCCCATCCTCATTCTGAACGTAGATCAGGGTGAAGAGTAGAGAGAAGGAAATGAGCCAGAAAATAGAAAATTAATACTTGGTAGAATCATCATATTTTAAAATTAATTTATAGGCAATGTCAGATAACAGGAGTTAAATCATTTTATCAGCAGGCCACTCTAGGATTTAAAAATTGGCATCCATCATTGTAAATCAGGTCTTAGGAGCCCTGAGGAATGCTCTCTAGAGCTGAGGGTTGATATAGGGTGGGCAGGAACGTAAATACTTGATTAGCTGTGGCCTTCTTTTTCATACAGAACCTAAAATATTTCTGTATCATGCTGAGGGATAATGGTGTGTTGAACAGTAACGAGGGGGTCCAAGCTATTCAGGGTTATAGTTAGCCTACTTTTAAAACTTGATCTTCCTTGCTGTCAATCTCAGGAAACTGGTTTGGGAGAGGTCCTGTTCCAGGGTGATACTCCTCGCTCCTGATTCTGGGCACCCTTTGGCCCCCTTTGGCAGAGACCCATTTCCCCCCATGGTCTGGAAGTTGTGTTTCTGCCCTGGGCTGTGGTCAGAAGTGCCCTTGGATTTGCCAGAGTTCTGCCAGGAGCGTCTTCTCTGACTGAAGCCCTTCCTCCCATCCTCTGCCCTTGCAGCTCTTTGTCGCGGGCGTGTGGTGAGAGTCCCCGCAGGAACACTTGTCCGAGTGGTCGGCACCGAGCTGGTCATCCCATGCAATGTCAGCGACTACGACGGCCCCAGCGAGCAGAACTTCGACTGGAGCTTCTCGTCGCCGGGGAGCAGCTTTGTGGAGCTGGCGAGCACCTGGGAGGCAAGCTTCCCCACCCAGCTGTACCAGGAGCGGCTGCAGAGGGGCGAGATCCTGCTGAGGCGGACCGCCAACGATGCAGTGGAGCTGCACATCAAGAATGTGCAGCCCTCGGACCAAGGCCACTACAAGTGCTCAACGCCCAGCACAGATGCCACCGTCCAGGGCAACTACGAGGACACGGTGCAGGTTAAAGGTATTGTCCTCATGTGGGGTCACCATGGAGGCTGACTTTCCTCTCCCATTAAGCTGTGGGTCTCTGTCAGGAAGCCTAAACCTTGTCCAGTGGAGTCATAATGTCTTACCTGATTAAGAGGGTGGCCGGCCACTTCTGTGTGCCTCTTCTCTCCTCTCCATTGTGCTTTGGAAGTATCCCAGGGCCAGGAGGTTGGAGGTGATGCAGAGTCCCCACTCTGGCATCAAGAGTGCCACCCCGGAACCGAGCGGTCTGGGCTCAGCCCAGTTGCTGGCTGTACCACTGACCGCTGTGTGGCTGTGAGCTCAGCACAGCCCCGCCTTCCCGTTCTGTGCCCAGGTACCTACCTTAGAGCCAGTGTGTTACCAGAGCCAGGCCTCAGCGCAGTGCCATGGCAAACTTTCAGTGGGCTGTGACGGGAAGGTGGGGATCATGGCAGTGGTGATCAGGTTGTGGGAATGTAGGAGCTCCGAAGTTCATCTTTCTTTGGGACGTTCGTGATTCAAGCCCATGTGCACCTGCGGTAATAGATGTCATACAGAGAAAGGACAGCCTAGTCACTGCTGGTTTATTTGCCTGGCTGGGCAAATGATCACATCTTATGTATCTGAAATGTTTGAGGTTTTGTGGTTGCTGGTGTGTGTGTGTGTACGTGTGTTTGTTACCAGGGATTGAGTTCAGGACCTCTGCACTGAGCTATGTCTTCAGTCTTTTTAAGTTTTTTTAGACAGAATCCCCCTGAGTTCCCGAGGCTGGGCTTGAACTTAGATCTTCCTGTCTCAGTCTCCAAGAGTATTATTTTTCCCACAGTCCTTTTAGATTGACACACTCCGTTCTGAGAACCCAGTGAAGAACGCAGGGCAGAATATCTCCCTAACTTACACATGTGGCAAGGGAAGAGCATAGGTTAATTACTTGCCCAGAATTACACAACTAATTAGTAATTGAGCAAGAATAAACCAATTTGAGGCTAACAGGAGAGAAACGTTATTATTGTTATTATTGTTATTGTCCTTACTTAATTATCCATTTATTTGTGCTCTGCCTTGTTCCTAAAATGATTTATATCTGGGTAGGAATGTAATTAGCTGCAAAGTAGAAAATACACAAGAAGCTATAAAAACAGAGTGTTGATCCAAACAGTCATTGCTACTGAAATGTTTTGGTAGAACCAGCCATGGCTCAGATGCTGTTCCTCACAGAAATTCTGCAGGGGTGAAACAGGTGAAATAAGTAGGTATGAAGGCATTAGCGCAACACAGCTACATTTTCTGCAGACTCCTGTAGGAAATGTTGAGGGTTTTAAAAAATCCATCCAAAAAGACATTCTTCCTGTGGAGTTAAATGCAAGACCTCGCCCTCCATCAGCTCAGATGCACCTTGTCTCCCCTGTGAGTCCCATCCTGAGGGCTGAGGGGGAGGCAGGAGAAGCAAGGGAGGCTTTTCTTGCCTCCAGAAAGCAGGTAGCTGCCCGTGAGAGAATGCCTGGCTGCCCGGGTCGAGTCTGTGGCGGACGCTGTGGTTGGTCCAGGGCCTGTCTGGTCTCATCTCCATGGATCTTGAACGTGTCTGCCCGTGCCCTGAGAGGTGAACTGGCCTTGAGAACCCAGGTCGTGTTAGCCAGACCTGCAGATTGATAGGTATACTCAACGGTGATCTTATCCATTCCACACAAAGGATGGATCTTCGGGGTGTAGCAGTTTTCAGATAATCCCTTCCCAAGGATACAGAATGGGTTTCTGAATGAGAAGCTAAGAAAAGCTCAGAGATGATGACTAGTGCTACTCGAAAGTCCTTTTATCCAGCTCGTGGTTAACCTGATAGTTTATGCCCTGCCCAGTGGTAGAGGGCCCCGTCTGGTAACCAGAGTAGCAGAATCTATTGCTTATCCTGACCTTTCCTAAATGGCACTCACTGATACCTCCTTGATCTCTCGTGCCCTTTTCTAGACTGTGAAAGTCTTCTTCTCATAGGCCCTAGAATACAGCCTTCACCTTCACCTTCCGGTGGCCAGGTCCACCTGGTGGATGCCCTCCTTTTACCCGCTTTACTCTCAGGCAGTGCCAGGTCAGGAGACGCAGGCAACTCCTGCCATCCTTTGCCCGTTGCAAATTGTGTTGCTTTAATCCTTGGAAGGCCGCCTCACGTGCAGGCCCTGGGCTCTGAGCTAGTCCTGTGTCCCAACAAAGGCGTGCATTGACAGTTGTTTTCTCGTGATGCTCTTTGACTTGTTGAATTCTTATGTTGACTCATGAGGAAGGTCCAGTTGTCATCCCCTTCTAGGGAAACTGAGGCATTGAGAGGTGAGGTAACTTGCCCCAGAGTGACAGAGCACATCTTCAAAGAGTTTTTGTTCACTACACCTCATTCTAGCAGGGGTTTTTATTAATGCCTTTCCTCCTCTTTCTTGACTTCCTCCTTCTTCCTTCTACCTATTTTTTCTTTCTTTCCTTCATTTGCGCTTTCTATTTTTTTCAAGTTGGAAAAGCCATTTGAGATTCTAGATGAGTCAAATGGGAAGACAGGCCAACCTGGGGGTCAGAATGGGGAAGGAGGGAGAGAACTGTCTCGGGACACAGCTGTGGGCATGGCTCAAGCCAGTGTCCTGCCTACCCATGAGCTTCAGACTGACTGTCCTCTGTCCCCACAGTACTGGCTGATGCCCTGCATGTGGGCCCCAGCGCAAGGCCGCCGCCCAGCCTGAGCCTGCGGGAGGGAGAGCCCTTCGAGGTGCGCTGCGCCGCCTCCACCAACTCGCCCCTGCACACCCACCTGGCGCTGCTGTGGGAACTGCACCGCGGGCCGACCCGTCGGGCCGTGCTCGCCCTCACCCACGAGGGAAGGTTCCGCCCGGGCCCTGGCTACGAGCAGCGCTACCACAGCGGCGACGTGCGCTTGGACACAGCGGGCAGTGACGCCTACCGCCTCTCAGTGGCCCACGCGCTGTCCTCTGACCAGGGCTCCTACTGGTGTGTGGTCAGCGAGTGGATTGCGGAGCAGGGTTACTGGCAGGAGATCCAGGAAAAGGCCGTGGAGGTTGCCACCCTGGTGATCCAGCCGACAGGTGAGCTGCTGGGGCTGTCTTACCCTGTGACTGGCCATGGTGTGCCGATCTGGCGAGGCAGCCCCGCCCCTTCTGGCATCAATTCTGTCTCACCCAGGAGGCACCGTTGGGGTGAAGGGAGCAGCACAGGGGTGACAGTGTGGGGAGGGGTACGTCTGTTTGGGCTGTGTCTGTAGTTTTGTGTGGCATCTGCCTTTTATCTGAATCTGCACCCAAGCTACTGTACACACACACAGAAAGTCAGGTCTGTCTATTAGAGATGCAGAACAGCAGGGTTTCAGACGTGTCCTGCCTGGTGCGTTAATGTCCTCCAGGAGCGTTGGGGGGGTTCTGTACACACCTGCTGCCTTAGTTGTTTGTTTATTTGTTTATTTTTATGTTTGTGTGTATCTTGTGCAATTGAGATTTAATCCTGGGCATTCACACTGAGCTACAGCCCTAGTCTTTTTAAAAAATTTTTATTTTGTGACAAGGTCTCAATAAGGTGGGCTCATAGAATCCTCCTGCCTCTGCTTCTCAGAGCACGAGGATTGTATTATAGCTGTGCCCCACTGTGCTTGGCTCTTAGCTTCATCTTCTTTAGTGCTTCTGGAATCCCTGGATCTGCCTTTCCTCAAAGTTTTGGAATGTGTATCAGGCTCACCCCAAAGCTCTGGCCTAACTTGCAACTTCTTGGCTTTTCTCAGGGGGTCTCCCACCCTTTCAGGAGGGGCTCCTCAGGGCCGAGCCTTCCACAGCTTCTTATAGCACATATACCCGAGAAGCATATGTCCTAGCCATGTGCAAGAATGTCTTTTGTCTTACTGTTAGTCTGCATTTTTTTAAACCTTTTCTTCCAACTACAAAAGTAATTAAGAAAATAAAAACATGTTACAAACAAACAAACAAAAAAAATAGATGAAAAACAAGTATGAAAAGCTCTGTTGACTGACTTTTCAGCAGGCACCAGTGGAGAGCTCAAGGGTCCAGGTCCTTGGGCTCTGCAGCCCCTGTGCAGCTCCTGGCTTTGGCAGAGACCAATTAATGAGACCACTGGAGGGTAATGGCTTTGCTGAGGATGGACAGGTATACTTGGTTTTCTGGACATTTAATGTCTTCCCAGAGCACTGTGTTGTCATTACTGCTGCCTTCTGTTTCTTAAATACAGAAGACCTTGTCTGGACTTATTTCCCGAGCGGGAGTGTGAGTGTATGGCTGCTTCATTCCTCCCGTGGGGAGCAAAGCAGAAAGCAGTGAGCACCAGAAGGGTTTTGTCTGCGCCAGCTGCCTTGTCCTGAGCACTTACCTGTGCATTTACCCCAGCACATTGGGGCGAGATTTGGTAGAAGTAGAGAAGCAGGACTGAGTGTCGGGACTGACTGTAGCACAGAGGAGCTGCCCCCTGGTGTTGGCCCCACCCGCTGTCAGAGTCACCCGCTGGCAGATGCACATGGATGGGAACAGCTCAGCCGGAGAGATCTGACTGGAATACATATTTCTGCCCAACTCTCCAGCCCTTCAGCTTACTGATGCAACAGCTATTTTAATGAGGCAGGGGGGTTAAGAGTCCCAATTTTGCAGTAAATTAACCATTTTATGCAGAAATTTCCTTTGTAAAGGTTCTTACCCCCAGCCCCAAACACAGGGACAAAACCCATCTGGATAGAGGACTGGAACGCTCTAGGCCTATTAGGCAGGTAATAGCGTCTACCTCTTGCCTGAGACTGAGGATCCACAATCCTTTCTGTGCTGTTGTCTCTTTGATGTTCTTTTGAAGCCCAGAGGTCCTTTCTCAGAATTAATGTTTCAATCCACAAAGTACAATACATGAAATGATGAAGGGCAGCAATTATATTGAAATAATTATCAACCTATTTTAGGACAAATTTGTTTTGCAGTAATATTATACTTCTTTATTAACACATTAATAATAACATATACTGGCAGGCCTAACAACTGCTGTAATTTCTGGGTAGTAATGAATGTAAATGATGCTTCAGGGTGAAACCCCAGGAATAGGTAATACTATGCTTTCACAATGAAAGGAGATGCTGTATTTTGGGGAAGGTCAATGAAATAGGGGAGGATATTTTTTCCCATCTGTGTTCACAGGATCCCTAAATTCTCTTTGGTGACTCCAGGTTAAGAACCACCACACTGGAGTTCCGGTCAGTTTCTTCTTGCCTACATTTTCCATTGCTACTAATCTACTTTGGTTGCCCTGTTGACCCAAATGGTACAGAACCACCAAGACAACAAGACCTTGTTACCCATTCAGTAGTGTGCTACTCAGTACACTTCTCTACAGGAGTGCTAGTTACAAATCCTGGTGTCTGATTTGTGGATTCAAGTAGAATATATGGGAGAAAGTCCGCATCACCGCAGGCTTGGTTTGGGTCCCTTCTTGCACTAACAACCCTAGCACTGGTACTGTTTTTCCCTTCCCCCTGCTCCATCCTGCCTTTGGGTAAGCCCCCAAATCCAGAGTGTTTGAGGCCTGTGCTTAGCAAAGTGACAAACTATTCAGCCACTTGTACAAAGAAAATTACATAGTGAGCTACACTTGAATAGACATTCCTGCCAATATTTCCAGAACCTAAGTGTGTGGGCTTTGATTTAGATGTCCCCCCCAAAGCCTCCTGTGTGGCCCTGGAGTTGATTCACGGTGCAGTGCTAGACTCAGGGGCAGTAGGATTAAGGGTGTGAGTACTCCCCATCCTGAGTAGTCTGGATACTATAAAAGGGGCAGAAAGATGCTGTTAAGATCCCTTGTTGCTTCGCCATCTTCTGTCTGTCATGAAGGTTGTACTCTGCCATGTACAACCCTGCTCGGAGCCAGCTGATTATGGACTGAACCCTCTGCAACCTGTGAGCTAAGTACACCTTCCCCCTCTAACTTTGGATATTAGGTATTTTTGTCTGAGCAACAAGAGAAGACACTGACGCTAAGAATCGATTTTCCCTGGGTGTGCACTCCACATCTTCAGAGTAGACATTTCTTCACAGACCAGACATCCTTCTAGGTCATCTTTTAACCAGCAGATGTCAGGGTCTGTGGCCAGAGCATTATAGGGAGTGTGAATCAGCCTTTAGGAGTGCGCTCAGGGTGGCAGCATCCCCGAGCCTTCTCAAAAAATACCCTCACGTTCCTTTTGGGCCCTTTGAAGAAGTCGGGAGGAGCATGCATTTGGAAGGTGGTGGATGGTGACCTTGGACTTTCGAATTCCTTTTTCTAATGCTGTACCCACTTCCCTTTCCCTTACCTGTCAAAGTGGATGTTGAGCTTGGCTTGAAAAATTTGATTGAAACATTGTTTCATTCTAGAAATAATTCATATGGGGGTGACACCCACCGAGGACATGGGCTTTGAGGTTGGATCTTACCCTTGGTCCTCTAGAGCTTCCTGGGGACAGGAATTGATGCCGAATGACTCTTGCTGTGCCCCCTCTGAAATCCCTCGGAAGATGTTGGCCATTTATTATCTTAGCAGTTGTTCCCCAGAGCGTTATCACAAGTTGTATGTTTTTCCGCTCAGATTGCAGATGTTCAGTTTCGGTTTTAAAAACCCACTGAGTCAAATGTTTGCACACATAAGCTTTGACGGGGGAACGCTGGAACTTGATTTGCTCAGTTGGTGACATCACTTACTTCAGTGCTTTATCTAAATATACTCTTCCTTTTAAAACTTGCTTTTTTTTTTTTTTTTTTTTTGTGGCTGGCCCAGCCCACCCTGGGGGCAGGGCTGCCACAGCATGTGGTGGGTCCCTGCACGCTTGCCTAAGCAGGCACTTTAGACCACTGAGCTATCTTGTGGCCCCTGCTCTTCTTTTTAATTACCCACACCGAGAGAGGGCAATACACAGGTGGCCCCAAAGTTACTGTTTTGCTTTTATGATACTGTTTCATGGTTAAGTTTAGGTGGGTCATAATGAAATAAATGACGCTGTACACACATCAGATTTTGAAGAATTGACTTATGAGGAAAATTATCTGGTTCCACTTTCTTAGCTCTCCTTTCTGTTTAGGATTTTCCATGTGTTTTTTTCATTTCCCTTTTCTTTTCATTTGTTTATTTGTTATTATGCTGGATTAGAATCCAGGATCACTCACACTCACACTCTAGGCCAGTAATCTGCCTCTGAGCTACATCCCTAGCCCAAAGTTTCTGTTTTGGCCCAGAAAACAACTTTACTGTCACCTCCTGCCTTTTGTTCCCCAACCCCAAACTCATGCGGTTATACACTTGAGAACTAAGCTGTTTTTTATAAAATCACCATAATTTTATCTTGCACATGGATAAATCATGTTAGTTTTGAGGTGCTCCCTTATCAAACTATGGTGCACCAGTTAAGACAGAATTCCTAGAAGCAGACCATCTAGACTTTTTCCCAGCTGTGCCTCGTATTAGCTGTGTGACTTGGGACAGGTTACTTAACTTCTCCTTGCTTCAGTTTCCTTATCAGTAAAATGAGAAGAATAGCAGGGCCTCCCTAATAGGATTATGTTAAGGATTAACATTTATACAACACCCAGAACACTGCCCGGAGTATAAAGTTAAGTGTATGCTACCATGTTTTTGGAAATAAAAAGAAAGGCAGCATGTGTTGTAAATTTATTCATTAAATTATCTCTCTGGCATCTACAAAGGTATACAGAGTTTTCTCATTTTAATGCCGGAAACAAGAACTTCAAAGGAGATGGTCTGAAGGGAGACAGGGCTGGAGGTGGAGGCAGGAGAACCAGCGTAGTCCACCACATGTACTTAGCGTGTTTGTTTTCTGTCTTCAAGTTCTGCGAGTAGCTGTGGCCAGGAATGTGTCCGTGGCTGAAGGGAAGGAACTCGACCTGTCCTGCAACATCAGCACAGACCGCGTGGATGACGTCCGGCCCGAGCTGACCTGGTACTTCAGCAGGGTGCCTGACAGCACCTTGCCTGCCCGCCGCCAGCTGGCGCGGCTGGACCGCGACTCCCTCGTGCACAGCTCACCTCACGTGGCTCTGAGTCATGTGGACACGCGCTCCTACCACTTACTGGTTCGAGATGTCAGCAAGGAAAACACCGGCTACTATTTCTGCCATGTGGCACTCTGGACACCAGGACACAACCGGAGCTGGCACAAGGTGGCAGAGGCCATGTCTGCCCCGGCCAGCGTGGGTGTGACATGGCTAGGTGAGTGGGCCACAGAAGGGCTCTTAGCCTTCTAGCTTAGGCGGCACTCCTTGAGCTATCTGGAGGAGTCTGGGTGCTGTGCGTTCTGTGTTCTTTTTTTAAAAAATTATTTATTTATTTGGCAGAGTCTCACTACACAGCTTGGACTTGTAGTGATCCTCCTGTCTCAGCCTCCCCAGTGCTGGGATTACAGGCGTGCACAACTATGCCCTATTTCAGTGGCTGGCATGGTGCCTGGGGGCTGGCACGGCATGCAGTAGTGGGTATTGAACCTGGGTCTTTGCGCTTGCCAGGCAGGTGCTTCCACTGCTGAGCTATCTTCCCAGGCCACATTCTGCATTATTTAGACATTCTCTATATTGGGACAAGTGTACTTTAGCTCAGCTAAGTCCCTGGAAGGAGGTGAGAATTCTATAGTAGAGTCTTGCAGGCAGGGGCAACATTCAGATCACGTGGCCTCAGTTGACTCAGTACCCACGGGTGAGAGGAGAGGCCAGAAGGATGGCTCAGTTGAATAAGCGCTTCCCTGGCAAGCGCAAGGATCTGAGTTCAATCCCCGGTTCCACCAAAAACAAAACCAAAACATATCCAGGTGAGAGGAGATAGTTTCCTTCTGTTGCCGCCAGTTGTGGGTCCAAGCCCTGCTTAGCGGCTCTGTGAAGTGGATCTTCACCAGGGGAAGATACTGCCCTTCTCCGTCTCCTTTGCCTGGACTCTTAGGTGCTTCTTGGCAGGAGCTGGTACTTTTCAGAGCCCAAGGCAGAAAGAGAATCCCTTCAGCCAGCAGAAGGTGGGTTTTTGTTTTGTTTTTTTAACCTAATCCCATAAAACCCTAAAATGATTTTATTTGCAGAGGCCTGGTACAGGCAGAGCCTTCCTGTTTCCCTGAGCCCTTCCTGGGCACTGTCCCAGCCAGGCACAGTCCCAACAGCGAGAAGCAGACTCATTTCAGGGCAACATGTCGTCTGTACAGAACGCATTGGCATGACCTCCTGTCACATATGTGAAGGTCATGGGCAGGAGCTCTGGTTTTCCCTTCTCTTTCTCCCCATGTTTGCCTGCTGGACGCACTGTTCGCTTTTCTAGATTTTTGTTCACAGCTTGTAATCGTAAGTGGATTTAGGAGGGGTGGTGGGGTCAGGCGGGGTGTGGTGAGCCTCGCTTCCACTGACCTTATTACAGAGATAGGATGGGCCGCTGTTTGGATGCTTCCTTGTTTTGAGAGCCATGTCTCTCCTCGTCCCTCAGTGCTCAGGACCCTCAGAAGGCATTTGATGTTGCTTTAATAGGCAGCAAGACCGAGTGTTAAAAGGCCAGGACAGGATTTCCTCCTTTGATGCCACGCTTCTTCCTGTTGTTACATGCCACTCCTACTTAGCCTTCCTTGCTTCTGCATGAAAATGTCTGTCTGTCACTGGTGTAGTCACTGTCTGTTTGTCCCTAATAAATCTTTACTTAGCCAAGATAGGGATTTGGCAAGTGGGGACAGAGGGGGCAGGGAGAAGAGTAATAGGAGAATAAGCAACAGACGCAGAAGGGACAGTCCAATCGCGGTAGAGACTAGGCAGGCTGTTAGTCATCCCTGTTAGCAAAGTGATCTTTTGATATCTGCAAAGTAAAAGCAGCAAGGTTTGTCTGGTGAGCTTTTATTCCTGCCGTCTGAACCTTGTGCAAGAGACTCGCTATGAAGTACTGAACTGGAACAATGTTGGCCCAGCTAGAACTCTCCTTAGCAACCTTCAAAATAAAACAGATGTTGTCAGCACCGAAAGGTTTTTCATCTCTGGAGCTGAATTTGTCTCGCGGCTCTGATGCTCAGTGCATTGTGTGGCACTGTCAAATCCCAGTGCTGGCGCTCCCTGCTCCTCCCTCGCCCTCCAACTTCTGAATCCCAGCTTGAGGATTTTTTTTTTTTAAAGTGCTGCCTGCACTCCAATTTGAGGGCTTCTTTGAAGTACTCATGTATTGATCCCGGCATGCCTCGGGGGAGGTTGAGGGACTGTCAGACATTGGGAGGGGAGCTCTGGGAGGGAGTGGGTTCTTTTAAGTGGAAGGGATTTGTTGGTAGCTGTGTTCTCCTGAGAGTGAGAAGAAGTAAAGAGACTAAATTGTGGAAGAGGCTCTCTTAATATCCTGAGGATCCTGTCCTTGTTTTCCTGTACACTGTTGGCACCAGTACCACCCAAGTCATCAGTGTGCTTTTCCCTGACTGGAGACAGCAGTGTACAAGGAACCTCACGCCTTCCCCAAAGCTGTGTAGACTAGGCACTCAGTAAATGTTGGCTGAAGGGGTAAATGTACCAGGACCATGGTAATGTTCAAATATGTGCATAGGGAAACCAGGATTGCAAACGGTAACGTTCAGCTCGTCGAATAGTCAGAGATACTAGCGCATGAGCAAATACCAGGAGGGCGCCATAGAAACAACTGCACTC